TGAGGAGTGTCAGGAAGCTGCAGAGAAAAAAGATGCCGCCTACAGGGCCACGCTGCGATCGGGCGCAACGCGCGCTATGTGGGACCGCTATAAGTATCTGAAGAGGAAGGCGAGACGTATTTGCCGCAATAAGAAGAGAGAGGCCGAAATACGTGAGTGCGAAGAGCTTGAAATGCTGGCCGACAGGATGAATGCTCGAACATTTTACCAGAGAGTTAGGTGACTTACGGAAGGTTTCAAGACCGGGGCGTACTCCTGTAAGAACAATAATGGCGACCTAGTAACTGATGTCCACAGCGTACTTAAATTATGGAGGGAACACATTTCCGCCCTACCAATTGGTAGCAGCACGGAAAGTTGTGGAGAAGAAGAACCCGAGCCGCCTGACTAAGACGAGGTACGTATTGCAATAAGGCGGCTGAAAAACAACAAACCTGCTGGAGCTAACAGCCTGCCAGCTGAGCTATTCAAGTACGGCGACGAGGAGTTTATAAGGTGCATGCATCAACTCTTGTGCAGAATATGGTCAGATGAACGCATGCCCGACGACTGGAATTTAAATCTGCTCTGCCAATCCACAAGAAAGGTGAACGTGCCATTCGCGCCAACTACCGCGGGATCAGCCTTCTAAGCATAGGTTACAAGGTCTTGTCGAGCGTATTGTGTGAAAGACCACCGTCAATGAACTGATTGCGTCTTATCAGTATGGCTTTAGACCTGAAAAATCCACCATAGACCAGGTATTCGTAATACGCGAAATCTTGGAAAAGACCCGCGAGAAAAGGATCGACACTCACCACCTATTTGTCAACTTTAAAGCCGCTTTTGACAGCACTAATAGAAGTACGCCGCTATTTCTGAATTTGGCATCCCCTCAAAACTCATACGGCTGTGTAAAATGACGTTGAGCAATACCACCAGCTCCGTCAGAATTGGGAAAGACCTCTCCGGGCCGTTCGCCACAAAACGGGGTTTCAGACAGGGCGACTCCCTTTCATGTGGCTTCTTTAATCTGATGTTGGAGATATAATAATAGCTGCAGAACTGAACCACTCAGGAAAAATTTACTACAATAGCGTGCAATTGCTGACTTATGCCGATGACATCGACATCATCGGTAACAAAAACCGCGAAGTCTGTTCTACCTTTTCCAAGTTGGATAGGGAAGCAAAGCTAATGGGTCTGGTGGTAAACCAGGACAAGACGAAGTATCTCCTGTCATCAAAGAAACAGTCAGCACATTCGCGCCTTGGCACCCACGTCACTGTTGACAGTTACAATTTTGAGAAAGTAGAGAACTTCGTTTACTTGGGAACCATCATTAACAGCGGTAATAATCTCAGCATTGAAATCCTACGCAGAATCACTCTTGCCAACAAGTGCTACTTTGGACTGAGTAGGCAATTCAGGAGTAAAGTCCTCTCTAGACGTACGAAAACCACGCTCTATAAGTCACACATCATGCCCGTGCTGGTGTATGGCGCAGAAGCATGGACAATGACAACATCCGATGAGGCGGCTCTTGGAGTATTTGAGAGAAAGATTTTGCGGAAGATTTACCGGCCTTCACGCGCGGACGATGGAACGATGAGCTGTATGAGCTTTACAATGACATGGCCGACGCTCCAGCTCTGAAAGTATTCAACTCGGAGCCCGCTGGTGGTAGCAGAGGAAGAGGGAGGCCCCCACTGCGATGGAAAGATCAGGTGGAGAAGGACTTGGCTTCACTTGGCATTTCCAATTGGCGTCAGTTGGCACAGAGGAGAAGGACTTGGCTTCACTTGGTATTTCCCATTGGCGTCAGTTGGCACAGAGGAGAAACGACTGGCGTGCTTTGCTGAGCTCGGCCAAAATCGCTAAGGCGGTTACAGCGCCAAAAAAGAAGAAGAAGATATACCCAGCGGACCAAATGCTCGCAAATTATACCAGTTGCGGGTAAAATGTGAGAATTATTCCAAAAAAAACTCTCGCTAAAGGCTCGTGTTTTGCTCCGCTGTATATGTGTATAAGTATGTGCATTTGCGAATCAAAACCTTTATCTAAATTTGAGCTGGGCGATAAAACTACATGTATAACTAAGTGCGTCTACGATTACGATTACTTTAATCCCAGTTTCAGAATAGTTTGAATTCGGATTGAAATAATCGTAAATCGAAGGAGTAATAGATTAAGATTATATTAAGAAAAATTAGTAGCACATGATGTATCAATTAAAAAATACTTTTTATTTTATGTATGTGAATTTTACTCATTTCTTAGCTAAAATCACTAGACATAAGAATTTGTATGTAAGAAAAACACAAATTTTTCAGATAATTTTGAATTCGGCATCCTTAAGTTTTCTTATATATAAAAAATGTTAGAATCCGCTCCCTTCTCGCTCACTCTTTTTTTAGTACCTTAGTATATTATCACGGAATCATGGGCGATCAAAGCACTCGTGGTGTTACATGAAATATAACCTTCGAAATTTTACTAACTAATACCTTGTTTATACCGACACATAAATCGCTTTGACCTAGTTCGCTCTGAACTTCAAAAGTTTAGGATTTCAAAAGTGTATTGACTCGAACTTGATTTCAAATCGGGTTTTTATATCTCAAATCAGTTAGAAAACAGGTATAAACACATCACTCATTCGACGCGAAGTGAAAATAGGTTGGTTTTCTTTATACAGCCCGTTTTAAATTTGAATTATTATTAAAATAGATTTGAATTATTGTTCATTTCCATTTCAGTCAATCGTGCAAATCAATTATTAAAGAAATATCGAAATAAAACAACAAATTGTGCATACATTTGAATACGGTTTCAGCGAGTGCGCTGTAAAGACACAGGCATAAGCGCTTGAAAGAAATACGTTTTAAGTCAAATTGGTTTTTTATCAATGCGGTTCTTGCGTAGGTATAAACAAGGTATACATTTTGTAATTCACGATTAGTGGAAATGGTTTTTGTGTTTTGTGGATCAAATTCTTTTCAAGAAACTTGTTGGACTATTCTAGGGGACGCAGATATAATACCTTGCAAATTCTATAATAACGCACTTTTTACTTAATATGTAAAAAATATTGTAAATTACTTATTGTTACAGACGGGAAAAATTTAGGAGAAATTGACGACCAAGTCGAACCGGACTTGCTGCATGATGATAGCTGCACGGATAAAATAATAAGTGTTTACAATAATATATGTTTGGTTGACTGTGCATCTCAGAAACGAAATGATTTTTTTAAACCGTCAGATTAAGAAAACCTCTCCAGATAATCGTCAGATTTTGGAACAGGACGACCAGGGCATCGAGATGAACCTTCTGTATGAAAAACTGACGCGCTCGAGTAAATCCAAATGGCGATTTTTTATGCATCTTCGAGAAGACGACACGAGCTTGCGTCACATCTGAATCGTCAGATTATTGAATGGGAGGTTCATTTGGGCCCATTTAACATCCCTTGTGAATATCTGACGCGCTCGAGTAAATTTTTTTGTCACCCATTTTTGACCCTTCCGTACGCCCAACCCTACCATGCAAACCGGCAGAATAGTATATTTCCGTCATCAGAAACACGTTTGATTCATTCACCGTCAATATCTGATGCGATCGAGTAAATCCATGTAACTGTTTTTTTTACATTCTTGGAAGCTTGTAAATCGTCCACCCGCCGCTGAGAAGAAAAACATCACATGACCTTTTTTTCTTCCCATCATATAATCTTCAAAATCCAATAGGTCAAAATGACGCTCGATTAAATCCCGATTTAGCATCGTGGACTCCCCTAATAGAATGGGTACCTCACTAACACGAGAAGAACATTAAGTCCCGAGACGTCAAGTTGCAAACTAAAAAATTCCCAAGTTTTTTTTTAAAGTTCAATCTCGACTGCCTCTAAAATCGTGTTGATTCGCTTTTTCACAGTGTGATTGTGCAGTTCCAAAGAATAAGTAACGTATACACGTGCGCGAAGCTGCTGCGCTTGTTAACAGAACAGCCCAGCCAGCAAAAAAATCCGAAAATTAATCCGAAAACGGGAAGAAAACTGGGTGGAACGTGGATTAGGTCTACAAATATATCGAAAATTGTTGTGAAAAGGGTAAGTTTTCAGCTATTTTTCTGAACATTTTCTGATTAAATTTTTCGTTAAAAAAACGTACTGGATAACTACGCTTAATAGCGAAATACAACACACAAGCGGCTTGAAAAACCAAGCGAAATATCCCTTTTCTGCAAGCCATTTGCGTTGTGTATGAGTTTTGATGAACCGCTGAAATTAATTTTAATAAAAATCAAAATTTTGTTATTTTCTGGCAGTCATGTTGAAGTTTGATCGAACCGCTTGCGTTGTGTATGGAAAGTTTAAAGACCTTGTCCGCACCACTAGTATACTCCAGCCACTAGCGGTACCAGGCATACGCTCGCGGAACCCACTTTGGGAAAACCGGCATTAAACCACGTCAAAAAAATAAATATCCTGCAATGCGACCGCATTATAACACAGACTTAAGTTACGATCATTCAAGGAGGTCGCGCATCGAGTGTTAATTTTTCCCATAGTAATTTCAAAACGCTCGAAACTATAAGAGTACGTTGATTATATGCCGTTTAGGTATTATGTATTCTCAGATTCTTTAAATTCTGAGATTATCCTTTTTAGTCGCTTGCCCTGTTTGAGTCAAATCTAGTAATTACCAAATTTTTTTTTGGAATTTAATCTGGGCATGCATAATATTTAAATGACATGTAATCAATGTAGTAACGTATTTTCTTACGTGTAAATCATATGGGAAAAATAAACCCTCGATGCGCGACCTCTTACAAATGTCGTATGAGGGGATATTCCTGGAGGATCATTTCTAAACTCTAAGTCAGATTGCGGTCGCATTGCTGGATTTTTATTATTTTTTACGTGGTTTAATATACATACACAAATCTTTTCATAAACTACAATTGCTCTGTACTCTGATCGAATCGAAATTTATTTAAACTAGGGAAGATCTAAAGTGTGTTTAAAACACTTTTTACTTACAATTTTTCACAGATGTGTAACCTTCAGCGGCACTTCCATTGCTTCCTCCACCATTCAAGCTAATGTCACTCGTTCCATTGAACGTATGTCCATTGGACTGCCTCCCAACACTGTTTAGGGTGGTTGTACTGCTAGCTCGAGAACACCATGCATCTTGGCTTGAAGACGGGCCTTTGTGGTGATGATTACCATTTGTTATCTCGATACGTGTTAAGTCTCCATTCGATTTGCTTCCAACGACACTTTTGAGCGTTCCATAGACACTACTGCCAACACCACCCCCAGAACTACCAGACTCCAATTGGCGGGCATACGAATTATCGGCGTAAGCATGAAAACAACATCTGACTAGAGCATTCGCGGCAGCTTCTCGTTTACAAATAAACACGTGACATTCAAGGACTTTGATGCCGGTTGTTCGTCGTAGAATAGCGGCAAATATTGGTGGGTGGTGGACGCGGGGCATTCGAGCGAATGGAGAGTCAAGTGGTAAGAATTTTGGTTCTGGCTTAGAATTTCCCCGTTCTGGTATTAAAACTTGTCGTACAGCCGCGCAGTAGTGCAGAGATTCAATAGGAAAAAATCGGGTGATTTGTTTTAAATTTTCATCAACGTTTTCAAGTAGAACTCCATTTGACCAAACACTTAGCCATGAGTCTATACCTTTAGCACCAACCGCACCTTCGGAAGGATAAAGAGTTCTCAAGGGCTCTTGAATTCCTTGTAGCCCATCCTTACTTTGCCGCGGAACGGCACTACCCAAATAAAGTACGCGACATCGGCAAATTGGGGTAGAATCACTCATTTTTAACGATTAGTAAGCTTTTTACTACGATAAAATGTAGATAATGAAAGGCGCATTCAAACCTAGTGGAACTACATATAAACCTTAGTTTTAGGTGACACTCGTTGACAGAAATAAAGTGTAAAAAGAAATATCTTATATGAATGTGTGTAAGACAGAGACAAGTGTCAGCAAAATTTATGCAGATACTCAAACATAAAGCGAATTGTATACGTAAAGTTTTGTCATACATACAAAGACGTTAACAAAGTTGATTTTCTGGTTTTGGTGGTCTTGAAGTGGTTCTTAATTCAATTCGTTTCTTTACATTTTCACCACCCTGACCGTTTATACATGAACACACTTTAATTGTATTTACATATAAGCATACATATGTACATACAAAAGTTAAATTAGGTATCTCTTTGCATTCCAACTGCATTCGCGATTGCCTAAGATATTTGGTTTTATTTTCCTTCTCATGTAAAAACTTATACATTCCACAATATATTTACATATGTATACGTATGTATATGCGATGGTACTTGTATACATATAAAAACGTTGGTTATCATGCACATGCACACATATTATTTTTAATTATACATTTATCCCTTGTTGTTTGTTTAACTTTTTAAATACGTAAAATAAGTATTATTCAGATATTTTTTCTTGTTAAGCTATAAAACTCCTTTCAGTAAAACGTCTTTCGCCTACCGAAATTACAGTACGTATTCACTTTTCCGATTTTGCTGTTCCACTGCACTGTTACATGATATTGTGTGATGGCTGGAATTTAAATTTTTGTGGCGAAAAAAATGGCGCCGTTCGAGAATTTGCTCATTTTCACAAATACATGAGAATTTTTACAAGTCGATACTAATAAACCGCTATGAATGTATGTATGTAGGCATATGGATGCGGTGGTATGCTTATTTTCACGAATAATTTGCATTTGGAGTTGTGTCTATGCAAGTAAAAATCGCCAGCTCCTTTTGACCGGTTGACCGTAAGACGGGAAGTGAAAATATGTCGATTCGTAACATATTCAATGATCCCACTTTCATTTCACACGCATATACAAAAATGCGCAACTTAATGGATTAGATCGCAATGGAATGACCTGATGTTCGCAAGTTATCTGTATAAGTTTGTGTATGTTCGAATACAACGCAAAAATCCGACAACTAAACGAAAAGGCAAAAAATCCGGTCATTGCATCAACGTTGCTCACTTGACGATAGTATACTCACGATTGGTGTATCTAACCTAAAACGATCATATCCAAAGTACCGACGTGGTATTTTGCTCTCCGTCTTTTTGCCTTCGTTCGTTGTCTTGAACCACATCTCAATACTTGTTTTAATAATACCACAGAATAGATACAGGTAGACTCGTACTATTTACATACATACATATTAATGTATTTCTTTGTAAAATATGTAAGTGTAAGTACTGGTGTTAACTTGAGGTGAGTTTTCAGTTTTTATATTCTTTTGACTGCATACATGAATATGTGTATCTACATATGTACATATGTTGTTTTGTTATACCAGAGCGCACTAGTGCACAAGGGTATCTATTATAACTTTGTTTGTATACATAAAGGCTCATAATTAAAAAAGAAATCGATTAAGCCGTGCCTGTCTGTCCGTCCGTCTGGCTGTACACACGATAACTCGAGAAAAAATTTATATATCTTAACGAAACTTGGTACGTGTGCTTCTTTTCCGCCAGGACAGATTACAATGATCTTTAGGGCAAAACAAAGAACATTATACATTTTCGGAAAATGGGCGTAGCCCCGCCCACTTATGACTCCATATGTATATGTCGGTAACCGCTTTACCGATTTCTCCCCAACTTGGCACAGTTGTTGGTCTTAGTAAACATACCAAACGGCTGAAAATTTAAAAATTTATTTAGGGAAATATGAAATCTTCGATAAATCAGTAACTACTGAAGCTAAGTTATTCAAAATTGATGTTTGCAATTATTCTTTAGCAAAAAATATCTGCATAAAAGATGTTTGGAAAATAGGCATAGCAACGCCCACTTATGACCACATATGTAACCTTCCATCAATTTGTACCAAACTCGGTACAATCATTGTACTTGCCACTTAAAGGCAAAACGTTGGAAATATTTGAAATCGAATTAAAGTTACTCCCACTTTTCATATAACGGTAAATTTCAGAAATGCTGAATCTTCGATATCTTGAAATTTAAGGACGCTAATTTACTTAAAGTTGATACTCACAACAATCCCTAAAAAATTAATATTATTATGGAATTTTGGAAAAGGGACTTGGTACAACCCACTTATAAATGTATAACCTTATCTCATTAAATCTAACTGAACATACTACCAAAAATGTCTTAATTAGCGGTACAACAACCCCTACTTACCATGTAACGGCAGTTTTCGGAAAGGTGAAAAAACTATATCTAATACGTGCGCTGGGTATTTAATGTTCGGCTTCGCCCGTACTTGGGCTATTTTACTAGTTTTTTGCGCTTTGTGTTTAAGGATTTGTGAGAGAATGAGAGTGAACGTATTCTCTTGAAATGTGAGAAATATAAAATTTGGCAGCAGTAATTGACCGTACCTTAATTTCTTACCTGTTCATTGCTAAAAAGGTATAAAGTAATACCAAAGCTGCTCACAAATTTGTGACCACACATGCATATTTCTGTGGTCGTAAGCAATAACCGCCTAAGTCGACTTAAGAAAGAATTGACTTATATATGCTGTCGTTTTCTGCAACTATTATTCCATGTCTACGTGAAACACCCATCTCGTTACCTATTCTATTTAAAAAGTTATAAATGAAAGTATTTTGGTTTCCCCATAAGGTTAACACATATATGTAATACTCCTATATTGGCAGTAAGAGCTAGAGTACCGTCCGAAAACACTACAGTACAGATGTATCAATAAACACGTACGAAAGAAAATGAACACATACGTTTATAAATAAACATGTACACAACACATATACAAAAACGGCACTCAAGTACACAATACATTGACAAAAACGGTACTAGACTGTCTCGCTTTGATTTCGGAATGCTTACACATTGAGAAGTTAGCTTACTGCCAATATAGAAGTATTACATATATGGGTTAACATTACAACCCAAATCTTTAAAGCGCTTTTTCTCGAATTCAGGTTTTTCGACTTAGGCAATTATTGCTTATGACCACAGATTTATGTTATAAGAATCGCATTGGCAAGCTACCTAAATATTGCTGTTACCCATATAGGAATGGGCGGGGGGCGGGGAATAAAATAAAAACCTGCTAGCATAAATAGAACCCAATTAAAATGCCGTTTAAACGAAATAAAATTATAGTCCGAGAGGCGAGCGACAAGGCTTTGCAAGCCTTTTGTAATAAATATGTACATATTTTTGATATTATGTCACATCTGTGGTAGAAGATAAATAGTCTACCGTTATTTAATTTTGTATAGAAACTCTATTCATTGCAACTACTTAAAAACTTCTGGAAATAGAATTGCGAATAGCTTATTGATTAAAAATTTGTATTACATTAGTCAGTCATAAAGATCTGGCAACAGAGCGCATCAGTAATGCCTTGAAGTTAAAAAACTCTGCATCGTGGAAGTATTTCATAAAACCTGAAATTCAGTTTACAGGTTATTATTATAATTACAGACATAATTGTCAGAATTTTTCTGTAAAATATGCCGTCAGTCGCCGATAAAAAGTAACGCCAAAGGCGCATTCAAATGGTGGTGGCAATTGCATATAAGTAAAAATCCCGTGTACTTTTTTATTGCTTTTTGGTACATCAGGATGTCAAAACGAAAGAAAATATAATATAATTTTAGCCCATTCGTTTTGTTGACATCCTAAAGTTACGCCATTTCGTATTGGATGACATTCTCCTGTACTAGTGTAGAAACTTTAATCCAACCAGTTGTTCAATCAACCCCACCTTGTATTGATGCGCCTTGGTATCGCTTTACACTTCTGTAACATGACGCTCTCAATAAATATTAAAAAGTTGTATGTTTCGCTTTCCTATCGCATTATTATTGGTACAGAGCAGGGATGAAAAATTCAAATTTCAGATTGTATCTAATATCATAAAATAAATGCATCTAAATGAGATAAATTGTACCTAAAAAAAGTTACATCATTCGTTTGTAGATTTTTTTATTAATTTTATGTAAAATATGAATACAAAAGATGCACTGTAAACTTGATTAGGATTTTTTTTTATGTAACTGAGCTTATATCTATAGACTATAGTCTAATAGGAATCGGAGAAGTTTTACTTTAGTCTAATTTTGACTACTGAAAAATATTGGGGCAAAAGACAAATGATTCGTTACTTTTATTTCTTTGTGACCACTTTTCTTTGGGATTGTTTATTGTTCCAAATGAAAGTTAAGCTTCTCCCATGCCTACAAGTAAATGTCGACCACTTTGCGCAAATGTATCGTATATGCCAGAAACCAAATTTTACAGGAGAGCGTTTTTTTACTTTAAACATTTTTTTGAATTTTTTATTTAATTTTTTTTACTATTTGTGTTCAAAATACTTTTGTATGGCATATACGATAATTTCGCCTTCAAATAATCACTGTAACATACAATAAAATATACAGTAAATTTTTGGCGTAACTATAGGGATTTTAACCACAATATTTTATCAAGTGATGCGGTGTGGATTGTATAACAAGTTTGTACCAAAAAGTCAATTTCGAAAAAAGTGGCACATACGATAATTTTGCGCAAAAGGGGTCCATATATTAACACGGTAAAAGAAAACACTAAAACTGTATCTGATGAAAAGATGATTGTACCTAAAATCAAGTGATTGTACCTAATGCACCTTTAAGGCAAACGCCAGAAAAAGGTACAATTGTACCTACCTTTTCATCCCTGGTACAGAGGATATTTTTTCAAAAATCTTTTGATGAAATCGCTTATAACTGCCGCAAAAAAGCAAGGATTTTAACGATTTTTTTTTTAATTGCCGATATTGATCTACTGAATCGATCTAGTGAACTAAAAATCAGTAATTGTTTATTAATAATTAATTATTGTTTATAAACAAAAAATTTTTTTTTTTCAAATTGCCACATCTTTTTTATCTTTCAAACTTTTTTGTCTATTAGGGAATAGTATAAACTATTTTCAGTACGAATAGCAATATGCTAAAATTCGTCGTTTTCGAGTTGTAATTTTTTTTCTGAAAATGCACTTATATGATGCTAGCAGATTTTCGTGCCAGTTGAGGACGCAAAAATTGTTGCCCATTATGATAAAGTTTCCTTGCTGGATATTTTTTGAGGTTGCCCGATCAGAGCCAAAAGTTTTTTCCAATTGGGCTCTAATTTTGGCCCAATTGGGGCCCAATTAGCGATTTGCCCAATCTACCGAAGATTTCCCCAACCAGTGCTCACAATTTGCTCAAAGTGAACATGCATACGAAATTAAAACGATTTTATCGATAAAATCACACATACACACATCAAAATTCCCTACGAAAAAAAAATAGTTTTTAATTTTTCTCTTGAAAAATTTTCCACATACAAATTTGTTGATAAAAAAAAATTGTTTTTGAAAATATGCCATTTCAAAAAAAAAAAATGGAAAAAATCACAATGGTAGCTCTGAGTATTGCGCAATATTTAAGTATAATGTTATGGAGTGCACTCTACAATAATTTGAGTTCTGAATTTTTTTTTTACACCGAAGTTGAGTAAAATGAGTACATTACCAATTTACAAATTTTTTAAACTTTTTTGGAATTTTTTTGAGTATGCAGCTTTATAGCCCATTAAATTTTAGTATAATAAAGTGGAAGTTTTAAGAGATTGCAAAACAGCCGTTAATTTTTTTTTTAATTTTCTTTGAAAACGGTTTTAGGCATTTTCATTGATAAGGAAAATGTGCAAGAAGCCGTGAGCATAAACAATATTCAAAATCAACGCAATTTTGCAGTAGCTTAACACTTGCACTTTATTATACTCAAATTTAATGGGCTACAAAATTGCATCCTCAAAAAAATTCTAAACAAAATTTTTTTTTTTTTTTTTAATTCTAATGTACTCATTTTACTCAACTTCGGTGTAAAAAAAATTCATAACTCAAATTATTGTAGAGTGCACCCCATAACATTATACTTAAATATTGCGCAATGCTCAGAACTACCATTGTGATTTTTTCCAATTTTTTTTGAGATGGCATATTTTCAAAAACTATTTTTTTTTTTTATCAAAAAATTTGT